TATTCGGGATCTCTGTTAAAAAAAAAACGTGACATATTTAAGCGTGACCAAGAATCGCGCTATAGTATAGGGGAGATTACTTAAAATAAAGAAATAATGATAAGGAAAAAAGGTATAAAAATTGGTTAGATTTTATAGCACATATTAAAATTGATATTTTTCTTACAAATCTTCAGACAATGCATAAATTCTTCGCTCTTATATTTCTAATCCTTATTACCTTTACCAAGTCTTTTTCTTATTCTGTTTTCGGGCGTGATTCACTATCAGAGTTTACTCAATGTGCTGGAACATTTCCGAATAAAGTTACCTCGTTTTCTTTTAGTCCAAACCCAATAATTGCTGGTCAAAATATTACATATACTATTTCTGTAATGAACACAGTAACAGTCCAACAAGGGGCAACATTAAATATTTCAACTGCAACGTTTAATATAGTTACTGATTATTGTAAAGACTTGATAGAATCAAGTAGCTACAAATGCCCTCTTGAACCTGGAAACTATACATTTGTTTTTTCTGAGTATTTTAGGACTACTCCAAATGACCCGAAAAACACTACAATCGAGATAAATTCAAGGACTGAAGGTATTTCTGTTTTTCGAGTTTTATAATTTATTGTTAAAGCAATCCCTAATATTTCTTATATAACTCAGTTGCCAACCCTAAAGATCCTAAAACCATCCTGACTTGCATAGAAAGAAAATATTATGTTTATTATCCATAAAATTATAACTAAGTAAACGGTTATGTTAATGTCCAGAGTGATTTATTTTTAATTTGGATTTAGTACACTTTTTAGCGAGCATAGTTCTATATTTTTATCATTTTTATTATTATCGCATCTTTATTATCGGTTGTTATTATTATTATCTGCTATTTAATCATGTAATACTATTATATTTAAATGTCGATATGTGATAACAGTTTGACTAATAGTCAGATATAATAAATTATTAAATTTATGACATAGGATAAAGTAAAACTATAACTTACATCCTTTCTGTTGATCTTATTATCTGAAGTATAAGGGAGAGTCGGGTATTATGACGCACTTAAGAGTTGCACATATAAAAATTTTTATAAAAAGCGTATTGATTTACAAAATTTATTGAAATAGATTATTCATCGTAGTAACTATCCGCCAATAAAAAAAAAAAAATCGACTTTTTTTAAAAAAAGTTTGAAATATGAACTTTCAAAATCTACTCAAAAAATGTTATGTTTTTTACATTTGAGGTACGTACGTATTATTACATACATCGAATTAATACTTGTTATTGTATGGGTATGTAGTGAATAACCGTGGCCGAAGGCCACGGGTTATTCATATACCCATACAATAACTATATTATTTCACGGTGTCTGACGTACAATCCCGTGCAATAACCAAATGAAAAAAGCACGGGTTGTTACATAAGACCCGTGGAATAAATGTCGGAAATCATTTGTATTACAGAATTACGGGATACGTACGTACGTACGTACGTATCAGATAAGTATAGCACAGCATAGAATGTATGTAAATATAATTGATAAAAATTACGTACGTACTAACTTGATTAATCAGAATCGGTGCCAAAAATATTGGTTTTTTTTGTCTATTACTCGAATACTAGTGCTTCAAATAAAACGGATTTAATATCATTCGATTCGTCTCAGTAAGAGGAATCGAATGATACCAAAATTACTTGATTCTGATCAATGTATCGTGAAAAATAGTCAAAAAACATGAGTGCGTCACAATACCCATAATACCCGGCTCTCCCTTAAGTGTCGTATTTGGATAATAATGAGCTTTTTTTATATGAATTAGAATGTTCTCAAGCAGCTCCCTCAATGTGATTTGCTAGTGATTGGGATGTTTCTCAAATCATTGCGATCAATTGAGTGGTTAATGTGGTAAATCGAAGGACGACTTGCTAAAATTTCATTGTGTGAAATGCGGATTTTGAATTTTAACCAATCAGAGCAACTCTATGAAAAAAAAATGGTCTGCACCTCCAGATTTTTTTCACCGAGGTGGTAACCTCCGAATTTACTAATTTCCCCCACCACTTCTGATCGGTTCGACTAATTATTCACATATCGGAGTATCTGTGTTATTAATCAATTTATAGTTCTCCGATAGTGAAGTGGTGGGGGAAATTAGGCACCCGTAACCCAGGGACACGGAATTTATGCGATAAGAATTTGTAAATTATGCGTGCGGTATATATGAAATATTCGATTTACTGATG